GTATTTCACATTTTTTGGTACTTTATTGTACGTAGTCTTTTGAAGCCTATAAAAGCTCATGCGATGCTCCGCATGTGACTTTGACAAAGTTCATTTTGATTGATCGATTCACGTCAAAAATTAGTGTTGACGACCTCCGCGCGCTAGCGGGTGGATATGAATAGACGTTGAATTAAATTGCACCACCCGGATTCATTCGCACTGTTTCTCCAACACCAACCGATACTTTTTTCTTTTCACCCCTAGTCACTCTTTTAATTCTGATACCTTTGGTTCGAAATGCCGACTCTGATTTCGACCTTCACCAAGCGCTGCTCGCTCGTGTTCAGCAAGAACCACGACAATACTGATGTGCTCGTTCCGCCAGCGCCAGTGGAAGAGCCGCATGCGCCCAAGGCCAGCTTTCACAGTCACACCATACACACGGACAAAGGTATCGACCACTCTATCACAACCCAAGGAGACACTGGTGGTTTCCCCGCTACGACGAACACCACGACGGAGGCAAAGTCCAAACGGAGATCAGTCTTGGCGACGTTTGGCAATAGGTCGAGTACATTGTTCAAGAGAGATGCTCTACCGCTATTCGAGATATTTAATGGCAAGCTGCCTGCGAGTAAGCAAGAGTAAGTGGATGGTTTTGGGCTCGTATATCCGTCTTGATGGCGCTCCTGCTAACGGTTCTTTTGCGCAGCCCGAATGATCAAACGACTTCTTCCCATTGTACTGCATCATCACATTCTCAGAAGGCATATACGATAGGCGATGAACCGCTTACCGCGACCAACCCTGCTCCGCCCGATCCCTATTCTCCTGGCGATGGTGATAAGACACTGGTGCAAGAGCTGGAAGGAGAAAAGAGAAATTCAACCAGTACTGAGGGGAAAGAGTCGTCTGATTCGTGTACGGATGAGACAGATTCGGACTCTGAGGACCTATTGGTACTTCCTGAATCCGCTTCTTATCAGTGGCCGAATCACAAGATGGGTGTTATTAGCGTAAGATTTAACGTTTTGCATAAGGGGTTTCCTAGAGACCGGCTAACGGCGAACCCTCTAGTTTGTTCTTCTCAATGCAGCCACTCATGATATCCGCGGCGCAAGCGATCAGCCAAACCCGTGGTTTGCCCATAGCTCCCTTGGTTCTGACCAAACAAGTAGCACAATCAATCAAATCCTCCAGGAATCAGACAGCAAAGCTTCACAACTAGACGAATGTCGGTATCTTGAACAGCATGATGCAAACGAACTACCGGAATCCAAATCTACAATGTCCATTCTCTCGGGTGAAATGACACCGGCTGACTTTGACGTTGCATTTCAAGAGGTCTTTGGCATCCGTCAGGGTGTTCAGATCTCAAAGCGATCGTCTCGGACCACAAGGAGGCCTGATTAATCGAAAGGAGTGACAATTAAACTGTCGTCTCGGTAAAATTAGTGCATATTATACGCAATTTTCCCTCTTGCATTGGAATTCTTCATCACAGGCTTACCTAATCGTAATCTGTACAGTAGCTGACCATCGAATGGTAGCAAAATTGTCTTTCATTTATACTCTTCGAGCTGTTTCAAAATTTAGACCGAATTTAGGCCGCCTCTACGGGATGCTAGAAAGCATCCGTGGCGCTCACGGACGCCTTTCGACGAACCGGACGGCTAAAAACGTAAAGAGCCGCGCAAGCCTGAGCGCCGAGAACTTGTGAATGAAAGGAATAAAAGTTGTGCCATAACCTTGGAGTCGCGTTTCGTGTATATTAATAATATGCGAACTGGACAAAAAGGGCGCTGAATAGACGATTGTGAACCTCTCGAAACTGCCTGCTTCCTTCCATCTACGTCGATCCGCCCCATACACCAAAGACAACTGCGGTTATAGGACGGGTATACTTCGAATGCTGCGTAATGAGATCAACATATCCAAAGCTTCGACTTCTATGGCCTTTGTAGTGCTCTTACTAAACCAAAAGGTCAGTACACCTTGATGACGAGCTCATAGCTACCAATTTCCTTACATTAAGCAGACTTGGTCCATATGATAATTCACGACTGGTCGTACTTGGGTCTACTAGGATCGATTCTAGTTCTTTATCCAAGGAATCCAGGAGGGAAGGCTTCTCCTTCGGAGCCCAGCCCAGTGATCTTCCTCGGACACACTCGACGCTTCCTCCTCTCGAATACTTCCTAGAAAAGAGGTCTTTTGGTCACGAAGGTTGCCATGATGAGGGCGCATTAGGTTTTGCTTACCACAGATCCGGAAGTACGTCTGCACGTCCAGGAACGACCCTTGCTGAATCTATCATTTGCTTTCGATACAATATGTCTGCCACCCTGCTCGCAGCCTCAGCCCAAGAGAACTCCGATCCACCGGCGAAGAAGAACTGGGGATTCTCTTTCAGGCTGTTGGCTAGCGGCGAGGTCCCCAAGCGGATGACTCGAAAGCAAAGGTCGATAAGGCTATTGACATGGATCTGTTTTCCGATTAGCCGGTCGTGCACGTGACGTCGAGAAAGCGAGAGGGCAGGGCACCTACCGCATTACTCGTGTTCATCCCGTTCCCGGGAAAGTATACGCGCCTATAACGTCTTGAATGTTGCACGAGGTCGTAAAGGTGATGTGATCTGGCCCCGTCTCGGCCGCCATCGCCACCGAACACCATGGTCGGGGCAATGATGAAGGCCAGAGTGCTCGATTCATCGGCCATTTCCATGATTCTATGGGTGTTAGATTCCTTTCTCGGCTTTATTTGACATAACTCACTCGTTGTCGACGAGGCGCGACATGCTATCAACCGGTTGCGCCATCCAGTCTTGAAGGTTTTGGTCCTGCAAAAAAGCGAACGGTATTAGCCCGGACGAATTACCTGTGAAAGAGCATTACATTAAACGATCTTGTCTGCAGCTGGAGCGAGCGCGTCTGTTCCTGAGGTAGACACAAAGCACTCTTGCTAAGATGCACGAGTATGCCCTTCCCTCCTGGCGCTTGGCGGTTTCTCTGACCCGCTAAAATCGCTTGGATCAAGCAAATATTATCCGACACGGCCGCATTGATGACAATGTCGGCCCGCGCGACGAGGTTGACGATGCCACCCATGTCGTTCACATCTCCCAGGTGAACTGTGAATCCTAGGTCTTCCAGTAATATTCAGCAACGACTCCACGACCTAGAGAGATTGACAGGGTACCTTGTAAAGCCTTGGTGTGGATGGGATTACGGATTAACGCTGCCAGACGTAATCCCGGAAATTCATCCCTCAGTTTGGATGCAATCTCTCTCCCAATGTACCCAGTGGCACCCAGGAGAAGGACAGAGACCATGGTGGGACTTTCGACGACTGCAATCATTGTAGAGGTAAGGACGAAACTCGAGCCCTTAAGAGCATCTACCTGGGTGAATGCAGTCGGATATGAATTGGAACACTTTAGTCCTTCCTCCCAGAATCCGGAGGTTCCTGAAGACGCTGGATCAATCAGGCCTGTTCGCCAACTCTGCGGTTTTGCGCTTTGGCCGGCAGTTACTCTTTTGAGAATAGCAATGCGGCATTCGAAGGCCGTTCGACACGGATAAAGGAAATTTTCATAATTTTAGGCTGTTCTCGTTTACGCTCGAGATTACAATCTCACTCAGACCATCAAACGACACTATACAGCTGTCTAAGGGAGCATTTCATTTACTGGACACGACGAGAGCACGGCAGCTATCAGTAATTACTATGGCAGTTATCCCTATATCATATAGATAGAGATGCTTTATTAGAGGCGTATTAGATTCGATGAACGTGAAGATTTTCTTGGCTCAGCCATTATTCAGATTCGGCTGATGGACCCCCGGATGCGAGTCTACGCACCGCCGCAGACCCTTGTAATTGCAACAGGTACCAGGGTTTATTGAATTC